CATCAACCTGCAACCAACCAAAGAGCACCGGGCTACCGCTGGCAATGATGGAGAGCTCGCTGACTGACTCAATGGAGGTGTGTGTGAGTGTCTGTCTGCGCGTGCATGCATAAATATGAAGGGGCAACAGATATACAGTAAGAGCGAAGATAACCATGTTATCCCCTGCTTTAACCCAGACTTTAAAATGAGCTATGTTTGACGTATATCTGATATCTGACAAGATCAGATAAGGCCTTCAAGAACAGCAAAGCAGCATGGCTCATGAAATGTAGTGTCAGTATCACTGTCATATCATTGAAGGAAAGTTATCAGCCAATACAGATAGGGGTCTTTTGTTGTTCCTCAAACGCAGCACGTTTTTACGATGCCCCCCCATCATTGATTTATTTCAGTCTGTGTCTTAGGTGAATCAGCAAAATGGCATCAGCAAAATCCAGATACGGCAAGTTTACCTTGTTTGAACTTAGTTTTGAACTTAAAAAACATTCCCAGTGGAGTGGAGAAAATGAATGAGACTGCATGAACAATAGATTGTGAGAACAGATCATGACAAGATTATCTTTTTTCTTAGCTTTTGGAAGAACAGATAGAAAAATGAAAAGCTGGAAAACCCGGAGCGAAAGAGACAAGAGAGAAATGAAATGAATGAACATCTGATAAGAATCAAATGATTTACTGGGTTCAAGATATGGCATGGAGTAGAGTGCGTGTGTATGTGTCTTGCTGTTTCTTTATCAGTGGAGACAGCAGGCCCATGAGGTCAGTACCTAATCACAGTGGAGGTTAGATGTCTATCTTACAAACCCCCCCATTCTCTATCTTTCCATCTCACTATTGGCCTCTCTCTCAGCTACTGTCTGGGATCCGCTATGGGGCAAAGGATTCAGATAATATTACTGATATGTTTCCAGGTAGTAACACACACATATAAATAGAGTGGAAAGCATTTGGATTGTTTTGGCTAAAGTAAGTAAGCAGGGGAGGTTTAGCCAGGGCAGCAGCAGGGGTTATGTTTCTAATCAAGCATATCATGGGCGTTATGTTTATTTAGTGCTTATTTATTGTTTACTTAGTCACATTACCTCTCTGCTGTGTCCCTTCAGCGACACAGCGATAATTCACTCCCATAATTAAATATCTGGCTGAAAACTCAAAAGCCTGATTTTCTCCAATTGAATTCCCAATTCCTCACAGATACGCTGCATCAGCTTACTGAGGCCCTGGGTTGGAAGATGTTTGGAGGCAGGGAACGAAAGTGGATATTGAGAGGGAGGGGAAGATTGAAAAGGAAGTGGGAAGAAAAGTTCAGGAAGGGGGATAGGAAAAGAAGTGGATAGAGAAGGAATAGCAATTCCAACAGGAGCGGAAAGTAAATTAGTGAGAGAGATTTAGACTTTGGTGCCAGAACAACATTTGGCCAACTCTATCAATCTGGCAGTGGTCCAGGCACTTAGGGAGGGGGGGGGGGGGGGTGGTTGTGTGTGTGTGTGTGTGTGTGTGTGTGTGTGTGTGTGTGTGTGTGTGTGTGTGTGTGTGTGTGTGTGTGTGTGTGTGTGTGTGTGTGTGTGTGTGTGTGTGTGTGTGTGTGTGTGTGTGTGTGTGTGTGTGTGTGTGTGTGTGTGTGTGTGTGTGTGTGTGTGTGTGTGTGTGTGTGTACTGGAGTTTAGAGATTACCGCGAGAGGTGATGCCAAACTGAACAGCTGTTGACATACAAACCGTATGACATTGATTTATTTTTTGATTCCATCTTAAAACCCTTTCCTAACCCCTTAACTAACACACTCTCTCACACACGCAGTTATAAGTCAGTATGATTGATATAAAAGCTGTCATCCTCACTCCCTTGCTGTCAGGCTTCTCTTATCTCCATGTTGACACAGTGACAGGGCTCCATCTATCCAAAACACTATGACACACACTCACACACACATACGTATTGGTTCACGCAAACACACACATCAATACTCATGTAAACAAATGTGCACATATAAGGCCTGCATGCAAAAATATAGCACATTTATATTTGCTCATTGCAATTATTTATTTCCTCCGTTCAACTCTTTTTTGCCTTCGTCTTATCTTTGAGGCTGCCAAAGGGACCCTGTTTCTCCACACGGATCATTTAACTTTCTTTTGAAATCTTACTCACACACACTCATGCCACACTTGAAGGCCTGTGATGTTTGAGCTGATTCTACCAAGGCTTCCACCAGGGCACATCTGTCATGCAGAGTCTGGGACCAGAGATTTTGAGGGAGATTTAATAGGAGTTACAGCTGGATACTGGGCCAGAATGACAATAGCAGCCCGCCTCCACACAGGAAACTTCAGGAAGCCACACAGACACACACATACACACACACACACACACATTTGATATTGCAAGATCTTTGCATCAGAGCTCAGAGCTTTTTAAAGTTGAAACTTTAGTCAACAGGTCCATCAGCTGTTAGTGGAGGCAGAAAAGCTAGAGTAGGGGTCTTCCCATTTGTCATGCCATGGAGCAGAAAGATAGACTGAGCTGGAACCCAAAGTCTTCTAGAAATGTATAAAACTAAGTAGCATATTATGGACTACAATGGGCATGTTTAAACACTCCTTTTCATGTTGCATGCAACACTAAACTATTAAAATAATATTACATAACCACTATTTTTGCCAATATGGATAGGTGCCACAAAGTTATTCAGTACATGTTGGCTAGCTCACATGATTGCATGAGAATTCATGGGTAACGGTAAGGCTAAGGCTATCAATGCTGTTTGAATAAAGTGGGATGGATTTTCTTTATAATTTGTTTCGCCATTTTACTTTAATCAATGATTTTCCTATTACATTTACAAAACAAAAAAAATAACAAACATTTGTTTAGAGGTCCCCCAGCAATGAATCTGAGGACCCCATGGTATCATGGATCGAGATAAAAAAAATGAGAGAAGCATGGGGTGACCAGAGCCATTCATTATGGATTACTACTACCCTCTACTGGACATATGGGTAACCTGCAAAATAATTCTGTCTTCACTTCTATGTGCTTACTCTCATAAACACATGGCATGGTAATAGTTACACTGACCATTTTTGTATTGGAAGCTGCCCTTGGTTGTATTGATGATAACCCTATACTGAACAAGAAACACCCAACTTTTCTTACGTTCTACCTTTTACTGGACTAACAATGGGCAAAGACAATGAGAGAGTAAAATAGGACCAAAGATAAATCTTTGCAGTATTTTTGATGATTGTTCCAGTGATCCTAATATGTAAGGTAACACAACAGCACCAAGTTCAGGGCTTCCGGAGGAAAAGCATATCTTTTTGGCTTTAAGAGCAAAATAGCCTACATACTGCACTCACTGAAGCACCTTGCTCTGCTGTTAAAGGACAAGCCAAATCCCCACATAATTAGAATTTAGGCTATTTTTGTCCAAGGGAACAGGGCTGTTTTTTCACCTCGTTTTACAAGACAATCAAACAACGCATCAGGACAATCTCACTCGAGATACATTTGATTATTTTCCACAATGCAATGATCTCACTAGCTTAACAGGACTTCCATTGAACTAATTGATCTTTCTCTCTTTCCACTACATATATACGGTCAAGGTCAGTTTAGCTTTGGAGTTGATGTGGTTGATTTCTCTTTTCACTGCACTGTTAGTGTACAGTTTTACTATTATGCTGCTGTGTTTATTGTATTTTTGTAACTCTGGCACAACAATTTCCTTTGGGATAAATAAAATCTTATCTTAGGAAAGTCTTTCAATCCTCACAAACATGTTGCAAAGAAATATGATATCCCTCTCTCCATAGGTAGAGCTCTTGGTATATATTTGCTGTGACAGAGATGAATGGAAGGCCATCGCTCATTTATGGTTATATAAGCTAAGTCAACAATTTCAAAACTGGTACACACCCTTGGGCATTGCTCACACACACTACCACGCACAAGCTTGGTCAACAACGTGGTTAAGTCCACTCATGCAATCCCCACTATATCCTTTTAGCCTAACCCACACATGAAAGAGTGTGGATGTCAGTTAGGAAGATTAGACCATACCCTGTTGTCAAACATTTGACAAATCCATCACTTAGATCTTGTGCAGAGAGGCAGGACTTTTAGTCCATGAAGTAAGCCCACTTAGTCCAACACAAAGTGGTTAATTGCTCCAGATGATTGTCTGCTGAGGTGGAGAGGAAAGGTAGATAATAGGCACTTACAAGGTCTGAGGAGGGAGGGATGGCTGAGAATGAATGGAGGATGTCATGAATGATGCCCGCTGTGCTTTCTGTGATATCAGATTCCTCATCAGCAGAGGCCTGTCCTCTATTCCTTCCCCCCTTCCTGTCTCAGTTAACAGAACAGTGCCTGATTTGGCCACCAGCGACAACAAAAGAAAACAACTTCAGGAACGTAAATTAAACATACCTGCAGATGCTTCTAACTGTGTGTGTGTGTGTGTGAGGACAGCGGGCCCCTACAGGCGGTGTGAATAATTAACAGGGCCGGTGAGCGAGGCAAGGTACCAGGCGGGGTGTTTTGTTACCCCAGCCTCACTCAGCACGAGTATACAGCATTAGATAACCCTATCCACCCGTCTTGTGTGCATGCGTCTGTGCAGTTGGCTACTTTAGATGATTCTACCATCTGATACCTACAAAACCTCTTTGCTGCCTGGTAACAATTCCCGACAGAAAGCCTATACATCCCCTATCAAACTGAGACTGTCAGCATCAAATGCTTCACCATCTGCCTTGTCAGGACTCAAAAGTATGCACTGTATGCCCTTGTCTGTTCAATATTGTGTACTGATAACATGCAACAGCAAATAGGAGAAGCAAAATATTGATTGACCATACATCAGAAACTACAGTACAACTTTTTCCCTGCTTTTCATTTACTATTTCATCAGTGTTCTTTAACTTTATTTTCTCAAAACTAAGGACAATTGAAATGCCATGGCCACTTTTTTGAGGAAAAGAAGTATCAATCATCTCTGCAAACAAAATATGTAATTTTTATTCAGCATTAGTATTTTGTTTACACTGTTCTATTTACAACATGGACACACATGACAGGAAAATGGAGGACTTTGTCATTTGAAAATCAAAGTGAAAAGGTTTTTAAAAAATAAGCGGAGACATCTGATATTTAAGGCGTGAGAGTCGGAATGACACAAGAATACAATGACACCAGGAAGTGAAAAAGTAGGACAAAGAAGTGGACAAATGGAACAGGCAGTGCACTATTGAAGACAGAACAAAGAGAAATTCAAGCTGATGAAATGCAAACGCCACAAGAACAGAGACATGTCGGACTGCAGGGAACAGACGAGTAAAGAATGGGCATGGGTGGACATTTAACCAGAGCTTTAACATTTATACTGACAATAATGAAAAATGATGTATATTCACAATTTGTGTTTTTCTCTCTCCAGACCCTGTTCATAGCTTGTGTAGCACTTGCAGGCCCATCTTGCAAACCCATCAGTTGAACTTTTATAGAAGATGATTATAATGACAATGATTCAAGTATAATGGTTTGTTTTCAGCAGGGCTGGGTTGGGGGCTGTGCAAGTGTAGTCGTAGCTCACAGAGAAAGGAACATAACTAACTTTTATTTATTATCATACAGGATATGTGAATGCACATGTGGTTTGAATTATCAGCCCTCAACAGTTTTTGACATTTAAGTGATATCATTTTCTTTCGTTTCCTGTAAAAACACTGCTGTATTGTCCATGCTTGAGTAAGTTGCTAAACAATATCTGAATGCCAATTTTCCAAATCCAAATATACATGTCTGTGCCGTCATGCTTGAACAATGGAGGAAAATAAATGCATTTATTTAGACCTGGTGGTGTGATAAACCATCCATCTGCAAGTCTGGGAAGACATTCCCTCCTGAAATGCCCATTAGCACAATACCAAATCCGGACTAACTCTAAAAATACTATTCTGCTCGCCCTGTACTTTGATCTCATCGACAGGGGTTCAAGTAAAGAGAATTTCTTTGCAAGGATCAGTGTCACTTTGACATGGTATTACTCATTGTAGAAGTAGTAAGGAACTAAGTCACTCTTTCACCCTCCGTACACCCTTCCTCCATCTGCATTAAGAATTAACAGACAGTTACCAGAGTAAACTTGGAGTGGATTGACACATAAAATGATAAAAAAAAAAGCTACAGGGTGCAACTTTGGTCTTATTGAATGAAATAAAGAATCAAGTGCATGGGTGTACACCTAATTTGATGACTTCACAGAATGGCTGAAAAGCCAATGTTTGTTTTAACATCTCTTAGTGGGCTAAAACATACCTAATTGTCCTTGGTTCATCCATCAGTCTAAGTGATCTAACCCACAATAATTTAACAGTAACAAGCACAACTACAAACATGCTGCATAAACAAATATTTGCATTACAAAAGGCCACAAACAGAATGTGAATCATTCACATTCAATTTTAATATAATTAGTTACACAAGGCCTACCTAGTTATTTTAGTTTTTTTTTTAAAACTCAATTGCTAAATCTAATAGAATTTAATTTGCAGAAGTCTTGAATGGATTTCGACCTGAACTGTGTAATTTGAAACAAACTTTGTTAGAAATGAACATTCAATCCAATCATATAGGAATGATGTACAAAATCAAGTGTAGCACTAAAAATGGCCAACAAGTGATGAATTCTCAATAATCACTTATAATGGATGAGGGATGCAGAATAAAGATAGTGGACTCACGGAGCGAGTAGTCATGAATCAATAATGCTCTGACTCACCCCTGATCACATGACTGGATGAGCTTAAGCACATCTAGAGCAGTCTCTGCCTTTCCACAGTATCATTGGTAGTAGCCTTTATTGTATGATATGTTTTAATGATAACATGATATTCCTTTTCACATTGTTAAGCCAAATACAGTTGAGATATTATCTACTAGAACAAACAGTAAAGTCACGGGATGGCGCTAACATGTGAAAAGGGAAACAATTGAAATGTTTTCAACACTGATAAATCTGAAAATAAGAGGACCATGAATTCTGTGGATAATGCAACTGTAGAAAGCAAAGACCTGTGCAAACGTATAATGATTGCAGCTCTCAGTCTTTGCTTTGTATGTTCCACCTTTAGGACGAACACAATGTTGTACGTATAATTAGTAAAGAGGGAGTGTACAATTAACATAATGCTCTAACACCATTGATACATGTAATACATTAAAAATAAGATAAGGTTAAAAAGGTCCTTCATTAAAAAGCTTTTTTACAGTAATAAATAGATGTTTTCTCTATTTACAGTTCAGACATTTGAAGAAGCAGAGTTTGCAGTTAAAGACATTAAATCTAACTATTTCAAAAGTTATCTATTTGTTTTCTAAGGATGAGTTGTTGGCGCTCAGGATTTCTCCTCTTCATCATCCTTTCACTGGTAAGGAAGGCAGGAAGACAACAGAGATCACGTAGGAGAGACAATTTCCTGCTAATGTGTCTTTCCTGTGTTTCATTCTTAATCACTTTCCTATTTGGTGTTGTATTGCTGTAGCTGCTTTTGTTAAGAGTTTTCGTTACATTTGCCTCAGTGCACACATACACATACACCCACACACACACACAAACACAGATTTTGAGCACCCGATGCCACACACGATGCATTGTGTATCCTCCTACAGCCTCTTTCACGCTTTGAGTAGCAGTTGCCATTCGACACAGAACTAAGAAACTCTTTCCTTCAAAGCTTTTATAAAATCACTTAACAACACCTAGAGCTGGGTCCTTGGGGCAACTTCCTCCTCGTCCTTCTTGGCCATTTGAAACATTAGTTAATCTTCTTCTCGTTTTTCAAGGAGCCGTTGCGTTTGTGCTTCCCATTGGCCAGGCTCTCGCTATGACAATGTCCGTTGGCCATGTTACCGTCATCGTTGGAGACGCCATCTCCTCTTCTCTTGTCATCGGTCTTCCCCCTCAGCATTCGTACCAACCGTCGCAGTGCAAAGACAAACAGAGCCAGGGCCGCTCCTACAGTGAAAATCACATCCAGCAGGAAGTACTGGTAGGGGGACACGTCGTACACAGCGGAGCGAAGGTGGTCGGCACCGTTGTGACGCAGGATGTAGCTGATCCAGTAGACGGCCCTGGTCACTGGATGGCCTGGCTGGTCTTTGTGAATGTTGGAAAGAGTTTGTGCTTTCTGGCGGTACCTAGGTAGGAAGAAATGTGGAAACAACCTTTATCGGCAAGCTAAAGGGCTCTATATCTGGTCAACAGATGGCACTAATGAACCATAACACTCATATACAAAGCATGTGTGTGTGACAGTGCATACAAGACTTCGAAATCTAACCTGCTGTCTTTGATGACGCTGTTCAGGGCTGTATAAAGGTCTTCCTCGGTCATGTACTTCCAGTGTAGCATGATACCCATACCTTTGGCTGCCACACGAGTCATGGTGTCATAGTGGTCTCCAAACAGGGGCACACCTACCACCGGCACCCCGTGATACATGGCCTCGTAGATGCTGTTCAGACCACCGTGACTCAGGAAGGCCTTTGTGTTGGCGTGGCCTGGACGACAGGAGGGATGAAGGATGTTCATTTGCATGTTAGGTGTTAAGTTCACAAGTCATTTTTTGGTGCATATTTTGCTAGGTTATTTACAGTTTAAAGAGTAAAGCCCAAAAATGTCTGCACACTCTGCAGTACTTTACTGTTGCTCTGCACACGGAGGTGGGGGTAGGATGGTTTACAGTTAGAGGAATACAGACTGTATGTGTGTGTATGAGTGTTTATTTTCTAACAGTATATTTAACCAAATATTGTTTATAGTTTTTATAAAGAAATACATTTCAAAGTAAATGCCCTTCATTCCTTAATAAAAACGGCCCAACTTGTTTTCCGTCTTAATCTGGGCCCTTTATGTTTACTTGCATGGTTTAAGGTAATTTAGCACCTAAATTGAGATATAGACAGACTGGTGTAATGTATTTTGAAGGCTTGGCTAACCACAGTTCTATTGCACCAATTCAGAATATAATGCTTACTGTCAATATCTGATTGTTGTGCATCCCTGACTTGCACAAAGATAGCAAATGTGGCTTACACATTCACATTATACCATCCACAATGGTTAATAAGTAGGTAAGGGAGGAACCCAACCATGAAAAACAGTACACAACACCATGAGTTGTCTGATGCTTGGTGTTGTATAAAACACCAAGCATCAGATGTGTGTTAAGAAACACCTTGAAGCAATTCATTTCAGTTTACCTTGTGCAATACCATACATTCAGTAAGTCAAATTGACTGTTGATAATATACACATGGTGGGTGGACTACACGTTACAGTAAGTGGTGTTTGTCCTTGAGGTGTACTTACCTAATAGGTCATTCTGAGGCATCCAATCAACAAGCTTGGTGTTATTGCCGAGGTTACTGGGTGGAACTCCAGAGAATCTAAGAAAGCAAAAAAGACTAATGATAAGATTTAGCTCACCATCACAATGTGTGAACACCAATTAAAATCCCCTAGACGCTATTCACACATTATTGTGTGGCTGGCTTCATTGCGAAATGTGCTCCTGCAAACACCTACTGAAGCGTGAACCACTACGGAGGTGTTTATATGTCTATCTGTTGGTCTGTCTGCGGTTAGATAGTGTGTTGCAGAAATCTACCCGCAGAACTGTTGCTTCAAAGTGTGTCAAAACTGTGCAAGACACAGTTATGACACCTTACTGGTGTGTAGTTGAGATCAAAACCATGGGCGAGTTTGAAGATAGGTGCGGTCAGAGCAGGGTGTGGGAGAAAGAGTGTAAGGGGCCATTGGCATTAAGACTGGTGTTATTTTCAGGAGACACTTCGAGCCAGACCTTAAATCTATTTTTTCTGAGATTAGTTTAGTATTTCCTAAGCTAGCCATTTTACTAGCTGTCTGAAGGTAATGTGTTTTTAATACAATATTAAAATACTGTTGGGCTAACTGTATTTCACTTAATGTTGATCTTTCACTGGTGATACTTGAGGGACATAGCGAGGGCAGAGGATGTATAGTATGTATAATTGGTCCTAGAGATACTGCAGAAGGCTAAATGAGGAGTCTAGTTACATGCAGAAAGTGAACAAAGGGGAAAACAAGAGTTGATCTATTTTCCTCAGAACAAAATGAAACGGATGGTAGAGAATGTGTACAACATTGTGTATGTTTGAAAGTGTCTGTGTTTGCATGTGCGGAAGCAATTTCCACCAAATGCAGCACACAATATATTTACATGGAACATTACGACCCCATCCGTCCATCTCTGTCTCCTACCCTCCCTAACCCAAAGTCTTTCATCTCTCTTTCTCTTTTCAACAAAGCACCAATTCACTGCCCTGCCAATCAAAGCCTACATTCATGCAATTATCAATGCTTGGTTCCTGTCCCTTTCATTTGCCCTCTTCCCTTTTCCATCAGTTTGGAAGGACCGAAAGCCAAATTACCATTGAATGTCAAATACTAAATCTTGGGGCTTAAGAGGCTCCTGCCTTTAGCAACAGATTTTAAACCAATGCAGTCAGATAACTACATGTAGAGTACCATTTTCTGCTACCTCAGTGTAAAAGGTCGGTGATTGATGTTGCCTTTGTAGTTTTTCAGACACAAATTAGAAATGATCAAACATGCATGTTGCATGCAAAGTTAAATATATCACCTCACATTCCAACACACAAAGCCCTTTAACTATAACTCTGGCAAGCTTACTGACAACCACAAACTGATCCTCCTAAATCACAACAGTGACTCTGCCCAGCCCCAGCTACTAAAAGGCACTGGCTTCACAAACCTGTTGTTAAACCCTGCTCATTCCATGCCACAGAATGCTGCTTTTCATATTCTCTTTTCCATGTGATTAAATTCAAATGATTGCAGGCACTTATATATATTATATATTAGTAGACAAGCAGTCCCACACCTTATCGACTGTGTTAATGAAGGCATGATCAAGAGCCAGTAGGATGCTTTACTTAATAAATATATACAAATGTGAGCAGCAGGGTCATAATTATCTCCTTTTATTCCTCCAACTTACATGATCCCTCTTCGTAGTAGTAAAATACTGCACTCATTTGCATATCATACTGTGAGACAGGATGCCAGAAAGAAGTTTAATTTGACAATGTGATATTGTCATTAAGAGTTATTTAAGTAAAGTTTTTACTAAGTAAAAGGAGAACTTTTTTTTAAAGAAAATTCAGAGTTTAGTTATCCATCCCCAGTGAGTCAATTATAACACAGTTTGGACTTTGAACAGCAGTGCTGATGATCATTTTAAAAATGTGAGCTAAATAGAAACAGAATGGAAATTAAAATCAAACTAAAAAAGCTAAAAACATTAACTACAGCAAAACTGGAGTTCAATTCTATGAACTAAATAAATGTTTTTATTGTAGAACATTTAATCCAATTGTATCATCCCTGGTGTCAGTCGTGACATCATTGTAAATTGTGAGTTTCTACAAGTGAAGACCTGTGCACACTGGCACATGTTTAAACATTAACCCAGCAGTCATATACCTTGGGAAAGGTCAGGTTTGGGAGGGGCATGTATATATGAACTAGGATCAAGGCTTTGTTCCTGCAGTCTACATAAGTAATGCCTACATGGACATCCTAGGATAGATATTATAAAAAGGTTAATTCAAAAAATACCATGCATGATTACAAAAATAATCATAGTACAATAAGTTAAATAGAAAACACAATTTTATATAAAATATTTCTAGAACCACCAAGGGTTCAAGATCCGTTATTGTGCATTTTTGGTGCTTAACTGGTTCTTCTCTGTTTTTACAAGTGTGTGGTCACGTTCTAGTCACTTTGCTCAGCGCTACTGCTTGTTACAACTTTTATTTGCCATTCAGGTCATAGTCAGTAGATCATATCCATAAGACTCTATGTAAATGATAACCACAGATTAGATTATAATCAAATATGTTTCCCTTTCTTGGCAAGCACAAACATTATAGATAAGGTTCGCCATGGCTCAGGAGGTAGAGCGGTCGTTTTGTTATCACAAAGGATCCTGGTTAGATCTCTCCTCCAGAGTGTTTTAGTGTCCGTGAGTCAAACCCTAACTGAAGGCACTTATGTCAGTATATCAATGGGTGAATGTTGGTTGGTAGATATGTTTTGCTAAGCACTTTGAGTGGTGGGTAAACTAGAAAAGAGCATTATGGATGCCGTCCATTTTAGATAACTCTGAAGGCCCTTTGATGTAGTGATGGGAATTCCGGCTCTTTTTAGTGAGCCGGATCATTTGGCTCAGCTCACCAAGAAGAGCTGGCTCTTTCGGGTCCCAAACGGCTCTTCATTTTACCACATATACCTTTTATAATTCAGTCAAATGTAGCCCTGTTTTGACTAATGATGTATATGTGTACCCATATACAGTATCACTTTTCTTTTTGAAATTATTCAATACATCCTTTGTAATTAAGTATTTAAAAGTAAAAATTACATTTGTAATATAAATGATGACAGCTACTGTATCGACATTTTAAAATTGTATTTAAAGAAAAAGCCCTAACAAAACAGCAGGGCTCTATTTCAGTATTAACTAAAGAAAAAAAGACAGCAACAGCTGACATCAAATCTTTGCTGAGCCTAAAGTTAATCATAAATAAATAACATAGTGAAAATAAATATATTGCAATGTTCAAAACAGCAGCATCCAACCGTCTCTAATCATAAACAAAACATAATAAAAATAAATGTAGTGCAATGTGCAAAACAGCAGCATCTTTCGCGGGCGCGAGACGGCTCCCGTCGTTCACTTAAAAGAGCCGGCTCTTGAGCTCGTTTGCGACCGACACATCACTACTTTGATGGTATATAACACTATGAGGGACACACACATGCGCAAATACATTACAAATGATTCCCCCGGTAAAGACCATATTTCCCCATTCCCATGGCTGTAGCAAATGACTGTCTTTATGTTGATAGAACACTGTCAAAAACTAACCAGCTCCCACGGGCACATAATGTGGTACTCTGCAGGTTTAAAAGTGAGGCACTGAACTTTGTGTTTGACTTAGCAAATGAAACGTTTTTCCTTGAGAAGAGAACAAAGGATTCCCTACTCAATATTGTTTGAACAAGTGGACGACATGAGATAATACCATGGAGCAAAGTAGGGTAGAAACATGGACTTTGGTCCCACGGCAAATATTATCAGAGGAACAACATAGTCGCCTCAATTTTACAATGTGCCATTGCACAAGGGCTGAAGGATATGAGGAAAATATGCGATAAAGTTAATGAATATCCCAGTAACAATATGACTTGATAAATAAACAAATAAACAGACGTTAAAAGTATATTCCTACGCCTTGCTGCTGCGCTGAGTAAACCAAAAAATAAATACATTTTGTTTTTAAACGGGGATTATTTCCAATATTGCAAGTCACGCAAGTTGACAGTGTTGACAGTACTGCTGTTTAAGTGGCCGTGTCAGACCTGACCTTTACCTCACCTACCTCTATTAAGCTTACCATTGATAAAAAGATGCTAAATTGGCTGTAAATAGAAAGGATGTATGTTTCCATCTAGTGTTAATTTCGTCAGCTATTTTTTTATTTAGTTTTAGTCCTGTGTTAAATTTCCTTTTTAGTTTTAGTCATATCCTATTCATCCTGTTTTTATTTAGTCAAGTTTTAGTCGACTAAAAGTCTGAGCATGTTAGTCTTATTTTAGTCAAAGAAAACTAATTATTTTAGTCTACTTTTTGTCAATGAAAACTGTTGAGTCTTTTTTAGTCATCAGATTATATAGAACATTTCAGTCAAACTAGTCTAGCCAAAACCAATAATTTGTCATTTTAGTCAAACTTATTTCACAATAAAATTATTATAGAATTCGGTCAACGCGACCACTGCTCCCAAGCCCTGTTGTTGCCATTTTATTTTCTGCCCAGCCGCAGCACCGGAAATGGAACTGCTGGGAGAAAAACTGACTATCAGAGATGTAACGTTATCTTTGATAATATTTCGTCAACGAAAGTAAAGAGAGATTTTGGCATAGTTTTTATTTAGTAAACTACATTTTCGTCTGGTCACTTTTCGTCAACGATATTGCATGTTGATTTCGTTACAGTTATTGTTTACTGCCGTCTCGTCATCGTCTCGTTTTAGTCATGGGAAAAAAGGTCGTTGACGAACATATTTCGTCATAGTTTTAGTCAACGAAATTAACAATATTTCCATCATGTCTTTTCAGACGTATGAAACCAGGCATGTGAAACTAGATAGGACATTCTGAACTTTTGACCTATGCGCATTACGCATTCTAGATGGGGCAATAAAAGCGTAAAAGTTCCAGCCACAATTCTGAGAAGGCGCTTGTGGTTTTTGACACCTTGAGAGCGGTTACAGCGGGTATGAAGCACAGGATGCAGGCGACCTACGCAAAGGGTCGAATCAACTTCCTGGGCCAGCGAATCGTAGAGACAAGCTGTCCTTATTGTCTCTGTTAATAAATGAAGTCTCTGTTAATAAATTAAAGTATAAAGTTTGCATATTTGAAATTAAATGTTTAAAGAAAAAACATTCTGATTCTAAACATGACATTGACAATAGGGATGTCCCGATCACCTTTTTTTGCTCCCGATCCGATTCCGATCATTTGATTTTGACAATCTGCCGATACCGATTTTTCCCGATCCGATCTTTATGCAATGCATTAAGAGAAAAAAAAGGTAACAGATAACGGCTGGTCATCCAACGCGATGAATTCAGCTATCTTGGCTGTTATTTTTTTGGCCTTTTCACTGTTCTGGGGCAGTTTCTCTTTCCTTTTAAAAGTCTCTGAAAGTGTCGGTTGTTTCAGTGCCGTTACCTGAGTGGCCGCTGTGTACTCGTCGTGTTGTTGTTGGTGTTTGTATTAGATTGGTCGTGTTGAACGTAGCGCTGTTCTTTCCACCACGCGGAACCTCCGCCTTGCAAACATTGCATCTGGGTGTTACACTGCCTTCGCTTTCAATTTTATAATACTTCCAAACTCCTGACATTTTCTCTGTCCCGACTCCCGAGGCACCAGCTGAACGTAGCCTCTTGTTAGCTTACTGCTACTATTAGACACTGCGCCCTGCCCACTCTGTTGCCAGATTTGAGAGAAATAAGCAACCAGGTCTATGAAAACAAGCAACACATACATGATGTTGTGTAATTTTAAACCAAAACTAAGGCCTCAGGATGACTTTAAGACGTGAACATGGTCATTTTAGTTTTGTAACATTAAATAAAATAATTAAAATATTTGATATAAAAAAATAAATAAAAAAATTCCCGATCCCCGATTTTTTTCTCCCGATTCCGATCTTTTGAAAATCACGTGATCGGCTCCGATCCCCGATCACGTGATCGGATCGGGACATCTCTAATTGACAATGTGTTCTGCCTTCATGAAACATTTTCATATTCCCTCTTGTTAAAATTGCATATTATTACTATAAGTCTTTATTTGTTTGATTTTAACTTTACATATTTAATTGTTCATTAAGTAAAAGTTGAACATATGTGACCTCCTTCTCCCTCAAAGATAGAAAAGGGGAAACCACCTGATGCAGAGGGAGGAGGGAAGAGACTATAAAAGATGATTTGTGAAGAGAAAGAGGAGCTTTTTAGGCTTTTTGAGGCTTGAGAGCTTGGGGGAACTTTCTGAGGCTTGATTCCGGGTCTTGGCTCCTGGGCTCCAGGGTGAACCTGTTGCTTTTGTTCTTAGACCTTGTGTCTTTGTTATTTTTTGGATTCTTGTACGCTACACACTCCGTTTTACTATCCTGGCGGTCGGAGACCGACGCTTTAGTGCCTGAAATAAGTGATACGACGGGCAGCATGGTGTTAGAGGCCATGCTGTAAGCGCCCCCCTAAGCAGATTACGTTGATCTTGCGTGTAGATTCTGGGGGGTTTAGTCCTAAAAAGATTGGACGGACGTTTTCTGGAGCCTTATCAGCACCGGATCTCGGTATCGGAGACGGCCTAGATATTAACATTGGTTGTATCGAAGTTAGATTTATTTTCAACAGCTCGATGACAATTTAAAAAACGATGTATTGTGCACAGTATAGCTGATAATGGGGGTTCATATAAAGCAATACATTTGCAACTTGAGTGCTGATTGGAGGAGATACAGTAACTTGAACCTTATTAGAAAATCATTTTCACATCTGTCACTGTGTAAGTGGTTTCCAGAGTGAGAGAACAGATACTTCACCTCCAGACGACATGCTGGGGAAGCCTGGCGAGGGCTCCTGCCAGTTTGTGAGCTATGTCATGGGAAAGGTACTTGACCCCAGCTCCAAACGAAACGACCACAAAGCCATGCTCCGCTGTGTCATTCACCCACGCCTCAAAATCCTGTGGGAGAAATGAGAGAAAGAGAATAAGAGCTAAAATTATTCATTGTGTAGAGCAGGGCTATTCAATTGGCGGCCCGCGGGCCAAATCCGGCCCCGGGGTGATATTTACTGGCCCTTTGAGTATAATGTTAAAAAGTCATCAATTTCTTTTTTTAAGATTTTTTTTTTTTTTTTTTTTTTTGTGCCATAGTGCCTTTATTCCAGAGAGGGTGTTACATTGAGAGATAGAGGGGTAGACAATGCCTGAAAACTTCGACGGGCTCGGGTTTCGAACCCACCTACTATACTGTAGTGACAACTCCTGTCATTGATTGCATCTCTGCGTGAATGATTAGATAATTTCACCTAAATGAAATCAAATGAAACATGTAGGCCTACTGAGTTCTGAACTTGCCATTTAGATCTATAAAGGCCTTGGGGCTATGTTGTTTGATTGAATTAAACACAATATATGCACTCCACTATGCTGTTGTAGTATTTACTGTATCTGAAGCTCTTAAATATGATTGCTCATATTTCAAGCCATCTTTTTCCCGGCCCCTTGCTTTGGATCATTTTCATCAACCGGCCCCCATTCCAAACTAATTGAATAGCCCTGGTGTAGAGGTTCATAAAAATGCAAACGCTAATAAATGTGTTGTTGTAGTGAAGAACCCTTTGTTCCCCTAACATTTTTAACCTCACCAGTCACTTATTTTATAGTAGACTTATTTATTTGTGTTACGACCCCCTCCACTCCACTAGGGGTCTCTGCCTTTGTGTTCTGCTGGCTGGCTCTTGTTTGTGTTTCAGGTGATCAACCTGATGAACCACAACTGGGCCGTCAACATAAAAGGCCAACACTAACCCATACTGCCCTCTCACTCTTCTGTTGGACACGGCCGCGTCTTTGTTTCTGCACATTTTCACACACCCATACACGCAATCATTACTGATAACTGACTTCCACGTTTATTAGGTTTCTTTGAAGACCTTTGGTTTTGGTTATAGTAAATAAATACGCTTTTTGTCACACTTAACTTGTCTGGTCTCCCATCTTTGTTGCAGCCAATGAGCCAGGCCGTAACAAATGGGGGCTCGTCCAAACCTTTTGACATTGTTTCTAATTCTATAGTGCAGCCATCCTTTTCTGCTTGTAAGTGGATTGAAGGGCTGAGACTGATTACAACAATCAGATCAGCTGTAACTTGGTAGGCAGGTGCACCTCGTTGTGTGCATGCTGGTTGTTTGGGAGACATGGGGTGTTTCTCAATCGCGAGTAAAGCTGCTGCAGAGCCACTATTTCAAGCATACTACGTCATCGAGTGCCGCCGAAGTACTGTTCCAATCTCCAGCATACTTGGAAATCTACCGAGCCCGGTGTACTCCGTTTGGAGAAAAATCGAGGCTGCACATGAGTAGACTCCGCGGTCTTAAAATCCCCACAATGCTTTGCGCACGGACCAATTTCCCCAAATCTGTGGCGGAAGATGTAAGGCGGGGCCTCTCATATGACGCACACCTGCACACTTGCTAGCGTGTTCCACACTTCGTTTTCCGAATGCCAGGAAGTATTCTTGACTCGCTTCTGAAGCAAGATGCTCAGCAGACATGTGCTACCAAGCGTACTCGCGATTGAGAAACACCCATGGACAAGTGTGGTGAGTAGATGTTTGTTTTTGTTGGATAATGTAAGCAGTTGTAATGAAATGCAGGTGGGTGGTGTTTGTTTTTCGTCGCTAAGCTCGTTATATTGGTGATTTTTCGAGCCGATTTTTGGTGGTCCTGTGAGTGTCTCTCACTTCTGTCCCTGTAGGCTTCAGAACGGACTCCCTCTGGAATTCGTTGGGGGGTTTTAGTGTGGTGTGGACGTGGTTAGAGCTATTAGCTCGGGAGCACGTCCAAAGCTGCGGGTGGAGTTGCCAATTGCTGGTTGCTTTACCGGGCTTGTGGGTTTCAGTGCATACATACCCACCATAAGTAGCACCTGAAGACTAGGGAGGAGTTTAGGTAGTTTCGGTTTGGTTTGGTAGATAGAGGGACATGACTGCTGTTGTATGTGCTATTTGAGATCGGCTGCAAATGTGTTAAGTGACTTTACAATGTTTACATGAGTGTTTGTTATCTGTCTCGCCTTAGTTAAATAATGTTGGTGTTTTCCTGTTAGTACTTAATCCTGGTAAACCGTTTGGCTTTATTAGTTCTAAAACAAGTCTGGGTTGTGGTGATATCTTATGGCACATTTCCACTACAGGGCCTCGCTCGGTATGGCTAGGCCTTGTTAGGCCTCGTTAGGACTGGCTCACTTTATGCTGCGTTTCCATTTCAGTTTAGTAGCTGGGGCAGTAACTATAGTAACGCAGTGTAGGCGGAGCCGTGACGTCATCTTCAATGCGAACCACAGAAAAACAACATCAGCCGTTAGCTGTTAGCACTCAAGCTCACAGCTCCTCATATCTGTTCAGAAACTAGACAAAAGTTAAACAAGTACAAACCACAGACTGTCTGTGTCATGGCGAATACAGTCGCTGGTTTATTTATGTCTGTATAGGCCGTTGTTGTGAGTGTGGACGGTCGGAGCATATACTGCGTTAGCTTAGCCGATTTCCATTTAGAAAACACGCATTTTAAAAGGTTTTTTGCCTGCCGTCTGTCTGCCGACTTGTCAAAGCATTAATTCATGGTTTTTACTAACCGGTATCAGTATGTTGTTACTTCGGCATCATTTTGAAACGTGTATTACAATTAAATCACGGTCAAATATGTTCATTTTGTTGTAGTTGTAGCCCCCTTGCCAGCGATTCTCTCTCTAGTTTAGCATACTCAGCCCGACTCAGCCCGGAAAGAACCTCGATTTTATCGGGCCAGAAAAACTGTGAAATAGTACCCGCTAGCCGGAACTACACCAAGTGGAAACGCAACCAAAAACGGGCATGCTTAAAGCGAGCTCCGCACTGTAGTGGAAATGCGCCATTAGTGCAGGATGCTACAGTGGTAGTAAGCAGATGGTAGCAGGAGGGGAAGTGCAAAATGGTAATTTTTTGGAAGTGTCTGCAAGTGGTTAGTTAGACCTGTAAGCTTTGGGAACATAAGCGCTGCAGTTCATGCCTTGGTTGGGTGAGCTTTGCGTAGTTTGGTTGCCTCTTTGTGCTGTGCTTCTGAGGAAGACTTGGTTGGCTAGTGAGCCGTTTGTTTTAGAGGAACCTTTGGTTTGACGCTTATGTTGATTCTAGTTTGTGATAGCTGGAATCTTGGTGAAGGCAAAGCTTTGTCTAGCTGCAGGTAATTTGTCGGACTCTGGTGAATGTTTATCTGTTTTTGGACCTCCTGTTAATGCTCTTCCATGCATGGCCCATCACCCTTCTCTTCAGTGTGTGTTCTCTCTGATCTCCATCTTTCCTATAAACTCTTAAAAAGCTTCCTTAGGCGCTGATGTTGCGGGGTTGCATCTCTTAAAAGGCTTCTTCAGGCACTAGAGTTGCTGGGTTGGAAAATGGAGACTGGGTGAACACAGATGTGAAATTCAAACCGGTCAGTATGGAACATGTATATGTAATTTTGAACTTTGCATTTCAATATTATTCTGTGTTGGTTGCTATGTTTGGACGGTGTTCCTAGGTGTTACGACCCCCTCCACTCCACTAGGGGTCTCTGCCTTTGTGTTCTGCTGATCAACCTGATGAACCACAACTGGGCCGTCAACATAAAAGGCCAACACTAACCCATACTGCCCTCTCACTCTTCTGTTGGACACGGCCGCGTCTTTGTTTCTGCACATTTTCACACACCCATACACGCAATCATTACTGATAACTGACTTCCACGTTTATTAGGTTTCTTTGAAGACCTTTGGTTTTGGTTATAGTAAATAAATACGCTTTTTGTTACACTTAACTTGTCTGGTCTCCCATCTTTGTTGCAGCCAATGAGCCAGGCCGTAACATTTGTATTTTGCAAGTAATATCATCTTACCTAGATGGGAAAAATAAGCTGATCACTACAATTAAACAGCTGAGGTCAATCTGAGGCTGAGCAAATAAATAGCTGACATCAATAGAACAGACCCTTTAAATAAACATTTATCACTGAAGCATGTTTCCCACACATGACTTGAGGATGAGTGAGTTATAGCTTTACAGACAATTGCTAGAAAATGTCATACACCTTACAAAACTTTGCAGAAAAACTCTATCAGTCATCAAAGGGTACAATAAAATGTTTCATTAGGGTATCATTTGATAAGCAACGGGTAGATACAAGGAGACTCCCAAACTATAAACCGCTTAACAAGTGTAATCTCTTATCATATTGTTCATAGTACAGGTTGTATAAATATGTCCCCTTCCTTATCTTTGTTAAAAAACAAAACAGCAGTGTAGATGTACAACAATGATAGGAACATGTAAAAAACAGGGAATAAATACAAAATAATTAATCGTTTTTTATTTAGAAGTATCAGCTATTCCTGTCAAAGCTTAAGATAGGTTACTAAACTTAATGGTATAATTTTATAATGATTTTACATCATTATAGACAGAGCCTAAGAACAAGAGTACTGAGTAAAATCTGCAGTATGTTTTCTTTTGCGCAAACTTTATTCTTCAGTAAATGTGACATGAATTTAGATCTCTTCTGAATTGCTGCCTGTTGCACTTTGCTTCAAAATAAACCTATAAATGAATCTGAGAGTAGCATATTTGCCATGATATCATCCTCAAAGCACTCATTTGTATCCATTAAAATTATATTTCTGATCAATTAATATAGAATTAGAAACCAAACAAATGCTGGTTTCTTATGGGGACGTCAATAAAAAAATATGTTGTAAGCAAACCTTTCTTCAACTATCAGCAGTGCTGTTAAACATAATGTATATCCCAATCTAAAGTCCATTCGAAAACATTCATACATTCACAATGCACTTACGTCCTTAAAGGGTCAGATCAAATAAGTCCAAATGCATCAATACAATGGAGGTCAAATTAATTAATTCTTCTTCAAATTAAACAGCAGTATTTCTCTCCTGAAACCACATACTAGGTACTTTGGGTAATCCAAAACTATTTCCTGAAGAAGAAAATAGCCCCAAATCGTGCAGTTGATGGGCTGAAGAGGAGCTATAAACTCATGACATTTCACCAAGTTAGCATTAAATTAGGGAATATCCATGGAAGTTATGTGTCCAGGTTTGTTTGTTTTTAGACACTTCTTAAATCCAGATTGATGTCTGATATATCAGAGCTCCAAGTCATGATTACAACTTGGACGTTGAGGTCAACATCTCTTTGCGGTAAACACCATTATCTCATTACTTTTGAGAAGAATTCCCTGTGAAGGAAGTTGACTGACTCATTAGAAAACAAAGACCCCATTGACCTTGTTACATGATCAAATGAATTCCATATTTAAGAAATTACATCTGACATCCATCCTACAGGGCATATACCCACTAGTATACTGTAACTTTGGTCTATCAGTTAAAAGTTTCCGGAACATTTTAAATGTCAGCACGGTAGTTATATCAAATGAAAAAGGAATAAGTCCTGCGGCACTAATCGGTTTCTACCGACTGAGAAGACTTCATCAGGAAGTGAAAACGATATTCTTGACATGCCTTTGTAAAATGAGGCCAACAATATCCTCCTTCTCCGCTTTTCCTGATCTTGGTTTCATCCAAAGGTGTAACCCACATTACTCCGAAACTAGGTCTGGTGCGTGAAGATGTATGGGGATCAGTGGGGGATCAGGGATCCGCCATGTTGGGAGTAATAGAAGTGAAGGACATGCAGATGGAGGGAGGCCTATGGTCCAGCTGCGACAGTTAAGGCTGGCACTGGCACGGAGCAACATCAGGGGCACACTGGACTCTGTGTCCCAGCAGTGCAGCCCTACTGTCCCTACAACGCAGCCTCAGTGACCCCATAAAAGAGTCTCAGTGTCCCCAAAGCTCTGCCCAGAACAATGGCCTCGTTCTCCCTCCACTTCCATTATAACTCCCTCTTCACAAAATGGCACAATGCTCCCCATTGGCTGGAGCGGCATTCCAACACCACCCACAGTAGATACCGACAGCCTGCGCTCTCTGCATCCGAACGCTGGACGAACGCTGAACTAACCCCCCCCCCTCCCCCATCACCACCCGCCTCTGCTCCCCATGACTCCCCTCGCTCTCTGCTCAAAATCAATCCTCAACCCAACATTGTCTATAAAGGATCGCATTGTAGCAGGATTGATAATACAAGTTACCAATACAAGGGAAGACAAATGGAACAAGCAAAGGGTATATACAAAAGAATACTAAAACTCAAACTGACAAAGAACAAAATACAAAGAGAATCGTCTGTGTATTTTGGGTTTGGGTTTTTTGTAAGTGAACTTCATTATATACATTTGTAAACATCAAAGATGTTTGCCCTATGGTTAACCATGCAGTAACATTACTTTACCTTATTAGAGTGATGTGGGATATGTTTCATATCAATGATAATATATGAGAACATTGCATTTGATATGGTGTTTGAGTCCATAGCTTAATGTATTGGGTATGTTTGCTGGATTAGCGGAAAAACTACATTGTTTTCCAGTCATTTTATCCTAATAGTTTCTCACTTGATTTGATATTCATAATGTGATCTAAAAGTACTCTCAGAGTGAAACACTGCATAAACCGTCAACATTTTAACAGTCTCTGAATGTGCTTTTTACCTGCCTGTGTGTCTGTACTGACCTGTGGCAGTGGGTTGGGGGGCTTGGTGAGGATGCCTCCTATGTACACCACGTGAGGCAGGGTGGGCCTGGGGAACTCCAGAGCCATGTCGGTGCACAGCATCCACAGCCGGCTGCCCTGCACCAGGTCAGACATGGCCACTTGAGGCGTCACTCCATGTTTCTTCATAATCCGGTCATACTTGGGTAATGCAATATAACGGACACCAAAGCGCTGCACCAGGTAAACAGCTGTGTTGGCGATCCTCTGGGGCAGAGACATGCGGTCCGTCAACAATGAGTTGAATTCGGGAACATATGAAAGGGGGGCTGGGGCACCTGCCTCCGCGGGGTACCACAGGCCTGTGCTGAACACCGCATATTTCACACCCAGGATATGAGCAATCACAAAACCACACATCTCATTAGGGTCCACCAGCAGCAGGTCAAACTTGGCCTCCTTGAGGCGGGTCATTACCTCAACACTGCCAACCACAGCATCACAGTTCTGGGAGTAGTGGTCAAGGATGTCAAAAAGTTCAAGAAATGTTAGTCTGCCTGAGAAAATGTTGCTGACTTTGGACTGAAGGAAATTGTCAGCTGTGGTGCTGTTAAAGATCCCTGGGTAGCGCTGTAAGTGGAAGTTAGGGGAAGGGGGTACACCACGACCCTCTGAAATTAAAAAATGGGTCTCATGGCCCTCCTGGTGTAGAGCCTCGGCCAGCGTCTTGAAGATGTACAAGTGTGATTCAAACATGATGGGTGGAACCACGATCACTTTAGCAGCCCATGATGCACTGGGACTCCAAGGGAGGAGGCCAAGGAGGAGTAGTAGTGACGAGGGAAGTAGCATGGCTGAAATAATAAAAACAAATAGCAATTGTTACACAGAGACATTCATAAGAAAAAAGGTCATAATAATCAATGATGTCCAACAGGTCTAGACACATACATACATTGTATGTTTAATATTAATAATAGGTTTGGCAAATGGGCCAAAAACTGTTTGTCTTTCATCTTCAATGAGAAGCCTGACATGAAACCACAAGTCTCAGAGAAGGTAAAGAAAGAAGGGGAAGACTTATGTAATTAGTTTGTCATCTTAACTTTGTATCTACAAATGTTTTACATCTTACATTGTTTGCATCAAACTTCATGCAATCTGGTCTTTACTATTTTTGTGTCTGTTTCTGTCATAAAAACGAGTATTAAAAGAATACAACCTGGGATGAAATTCTTGGAGCAAAGAACAGGAAAACAAAGAGTACACCAGAGAGCTTTAAAGTTATCTCGGACACTGAAGATTTATTGGAAGTTACGGCCAGATAATTGACATAGACATTTTCTGAGACACAGCAGTGACACAGCCTCTGCCTTAACCAACTCTGAAGTCACTGATACTTCACCAATTCTTAGATCATAATCACCATTATCACTCAGTATATGTTTGTATTGGTTTCTTATCCTCAAGTGTACCTTTGCTAATTATCCTTTGCCTTTCTTTATCTGCATTTCCATTCCACCCCTTCATCCCTCCTCTCTGAGCACAGCCATCACTGACTTGGTGTGGGCAGTACCAACGTCATTCTAAACCTTCGGCCTCTCTATTCACAAACACAAACACAAAGAACTATTATCAAGCCACACTGTCAGAGCCTCTGCCCTATATGCTATTGCCTACACTCCCCCTCTCACTTGGATTAATCATTAACAATGGAAACCTCTTTTGATTAATCATTTCTTGATCCATTTACATATTTGTAGCCCACCATGTCCTTTCAAAGCTTACCTTTTGGCGCACTGGAGATAAGCAAATATCTATTTGAATATGCTGTTCCAAATGTTCAATTAGAGGCCAAAAGAAAATAATGAATAATGCCTTGTGAACAATTGTTACACATGTGTTGAGTATTAAATCAGCATTAAAATGTGCTACACCTAGTTAAGTAAATATACAAAATTGAAGAGGTCCTTTGTTAACCTACGTGTTATCTGTGTGGAGTTTGATTCCACAGTCCAAAAACAGAAGATTAGGGGAATAGGAGATTGTAAAGTGCCTGTAGGTGTGGATTTCATTCTGCGTCTGTATGTTTCAGACTGGCAACCTGACAAGTAATATCTCCTGATGTCATTACCGTTACACCTAGGGCTGAACGATTAATCGATTTTACATCGAAATCGCGATTTGAAATGATGCGATTATCAAATCGCAAAGCCTGCGATTTTTTTAAACATTTTTTTTTATTGTTTGTTCTTCTTGTCTGTCAGTCATCCACACCAATCAGAAGTGCTGTGCTCCACATGTACCAGCCATTGTTAACCAATCAGAAGTGGCCCATGATAGAAGGTGATAGACAGATTGATCCAATCAACAACAGGGACGTGCACAGACATTTTGGTGGGCGGGTGCTCAAGTGAGAAAAAGGGCACTTCCCATAATCATTTATAAAAAAGTGTTTTATAACAAAAAGTTAAATATAGTTGCACATCTCTGACTTACTGACCAATTTATTTGAATACCCTCACACTCACGCAATTGTTTAATACTCAACAGAATTCTACAAAATAATCAGCTAACAGAGACAATGGTCTTATTTAGTATTCACTAAGCACAAGAGCAGACAACAAACTAGTACAATTAATAGTTATTAAATGAGCAGCCAACATTCAAAATTATGAAGTTACTGTTTAAGGACATTACAGGCAAAAAGATCGTTTTTTCATGTACTTGTTATTTTGGTCTATTTTGCTTCCAAGTTTTCTTTCACTCTAATGGAAATAAAACTTCAAAAAACACATATAAATGGTGTTCGTTTTACTACCATGTCTAAATTCATCTATAGATTTAAAGCTAATCTGCATTTAAACATAACATTTCAGGGGAAAATACTGACTTGACGTAAGTAACTATCTGGGGAAGTTGTGAGGTGATGTGTTTTTTTGTTTTATCCTTTTCACCTGCAATGCCTTGGTAACTGCATGCAGATTAGCGCATTTTAATTAGGCCTAGTTAACGCCTACTTTGCATATCAATGTGGCGATATTGTGATGACGTTATTAGATACACATTTTACTGTATTCACTTTAAGTGTCTCCCCTTAAGTACAGTACATTAGCCTGTATGCCCATGATAAATTGCCTTAGCTAAACCTTGAGCTAACTTATCCATTAGCTAGTAGCCTACCATAGTTAACTATATTTGTTATTGTCTTTTAGCTAATTAGCTGTAAACTCGAGGCACTGGCAGTTTAGTAATTTGTTCATCACCAATCACCTTCAAACAAGCCAAGAAAAGCCGGCATAACATGGAACAGTAAAGGTGGAGGTGCTGCTACCTGTCTGTCTGAAGTGACTGCCGATGTCCGCACCGCTGTGCAGGAGACGTGGAGGGAGGGAGGGAGGGTAGAGAGAGCATCGGAGCTTCACAGTCTAATCTCCTGACCTGATATTTTAATTTTGTATTCAATCAATATATTTTTGGAAAGGGAAACTGTGCGCAAACAGCAGTAGATATATATTAATTTATACAAATTTAAAAAAGGGGAAAAAAGGGCACTTTCTCTGGAGGAGGAAAAAGGGCAGGGGCTCAAGCCCACTTTGATGTATATGTGTGCACGTGCCTGCTGCCAAGTATTTTTGAAAGTGCCTGCCCTTTCCAAATGGCTTCCAATGGAGCTTTCCTAGATGGTTTGGTGAAACAAACCATCTGAGTCAGGTTAGTAATGCTCCATCACATGTTTTACATCTATTACAGGGTGAATCTTAAACTGAAGCTTGACTTTAAAGCAACCCAACGGAAGTTTCATGTAAGTTTAGTTCTTTCACTTGTAGCTCGGGCTGCGGGGGTGCTAGAGACGGGAGCATATTGATGCGACCTTCCTAACCGGAGATATGGCCGCATTTTACAATAAACTTCCGTTGGGTCACTTAAAAACAAATATCGCAAATCGAATCGCAATCGCAATATTTGTCAGAAAAATCACAATTAGATTTTTTCCCAAAATCGTGCAGCCCTAGTTACACCTCAATCTATATCAAATGGCACAGCCCATATTGTTTCTGGGGACCACCAGATAGCATCCTAAGTGGATTATATAGTGTATCTGCCACCTGTCTGTCACCAATATGAAGTTTATGTCCGGAAACAGCTGCGGCCTGGTAGGAAAAGCACTTAAAGGTAGGGTAGGTAAGTTTGAGAAACCGGCTCGAGATCGCTAGAATTTGAAAATACACAACCGGAGAAAATCTGCCACTTCCTTATAGAGCCCCTCCTCCAACACACACGAACGCGCACATGACCAATGAGGGCACGAGATAAGTTTGTGCACAGATGGAAGGCTGACAGGCAGGTAGGCCATCCAGTTCGGCTAAAATGATTGGTCGTGCTTTTTACAGTACTACGGCTTCCACAGATGACATTTTTTTATGGATTTTTTGTCAAAGCACTTAAGATATTCATTGCTATCGGGATGTTAAGAGCATTCCATGGAATATAACAAAAAGTGTATCTCGAGCCGGTGTCAGTACCATATGTGTTCGCCCTACCATATGTGTTCGGGGTCCGTCGCTTACCAATGACGCCACGCATTGTGATTGGCTGTACGGTAATCGCACGCTGATTGGAGTAACTAGGGGCGCTGACTAGGGTATACCGGGGGTCTGATCAAAGGATGAAGCTGTTAACGTGCTGCTACCATAAACTGGCTGTAGCCCACAAACTGAAGCAGAATGATCTAGGGCTGTCCCGAATACCATTTTTCGGGCTCCGGATATTCGGTAGTAATCAGCAGCGAATATTCGAATATTCGGCCCGCGCGGGGGGGGCGTAGTAATCAGCAGCGAACTGCTTCAACACGTGTATTTCGGTGTAGTCACGGCATTCATTTTGTTATTCTAGAGTATTGTTGTTTTATAGTTATTTGTTAATGTAACCCAATTTGTGTTCTTTGAAATTGAAAAGGATATCGCATTGTGTTTGTTACTTTCGTTGCAGTTGTATACGTCTTAAGTGTAATTTGGCTTGGTTTCCTATTTATGGACATGCTTTTATTTTGAAGGAGAGTTAGCGCAGTTGACAGGAAGTTGTTGTTGCTTTGGAAACAGCGTGACAGAGATTAGCGGAGAAAAGTAATATCTACATATAAAGACGGAGAAAGTAAACGATAACGTTTATGGTTAAGTGTTAGCACCCCCCGAAGAGGCACAAGCTCCTACGTTGATATTGGAGATTTCAATAAATTCAATTTGAAAAAAAATGGGAAAAAACAAACAAAACGAATATCCGAATAACGAAATTGAAACCCGAAATAGTACTCCAATGAACGAATATTCGGATATAGTAGGGCTGTACCCGAATACTATAATAAAGTTATAGTAAATAATAACAAACTCCAGTGTTAGAATTCCATAATTCCATATTCATAAATAAAATGATATGCAAATAACATTTTATTGGCTGTGGACTTGTACTCTACATAATTATGTTGAGCTCATGGTAATCTAATTCAATAAACAATAACTGCAATGAACAGATAGCATTTTCTGACTCGTAAAATGATTGGATATGGTGTAATTTGGTAAATGATTCTGTGTTAAAAAATGTATATCTTTAAAAACTGCGTTGGTGTATTAGGGCGGGCCATACTATTTTTCTTTTGTAAATCGATCGAGAGGGGTGTTCAAATAACGTATTTTGGTGTGTAGAACACACATCTATTTAGATTTATTTATTTTGAAGTTGTTGCTATGGAAACAACATGACGGAGAAAAAAGTAATATCTTCTACATATAACGGACAAAGTAAAGAATGAAGTGTATGTTTAAATGTTAGCATCCCCCGAAGAGGCTCAAGCTCTTACGTTGAGTCTGGAGTTTCAATACATTAGGAATTTGACCGTGTAAAATGTCCTCTTGGGTTACCGTACAGCCAATGCGTGACGTCATTGGTAAGCATAACGGACCCCGAACACATATGGTACCTACACCGGTTTCTCAAACGTACCTACCCTACCTTTAAGGTGGCCACCATTTTGTTTAGCATTGTCCTGAAGATAACGTTACAAACACTTCTCAGCCCAGACTGTTGATGGTAACTATAGAAACCAGCACTGTCTACGGAGGACTGCGATGCATCATGACTTAAATTACTAACAATGGAGTCTGGTTACCCTGCGCACAGGGAGGGCAGAGGAAATTATCTGATTAAGAGATTTAAAGAATAGAAAATGACACCGACGAGATGAATAAGGCACAAAAGTTCAAAAGGAGGGAAACGCATTCAACATTTTGTAAAGAACGCTTTTTATGAAGGCATAATATGTTATAGTAAACAGATAAGAGCTGGAGCTACGTAGCCTACGGTATTGTGAAATAAGAATTATTTTCTACAGCTACATTAATGTTATGTTACAATACTGTCATATTGTGTTTGATTTGATCACAATTACCCATTTAGACTTGATTATTATTACCAGTAAACAATAAATGTGGACCATATAACAATGTTACACAAGACATTGCCTTGAACATCAAATACATTATTGTATATGATTATGCAAACAGGTACTATACAGATAACTGAATCTGTTAAAACGACATCACAGAAGAGTTTATTGTGCAAAACAAACTACAGTTAAGGCCTCAACAAACAATTGGCATAATGGCATAAATAATTAGAAATTCCCATTGTATTGCAGCTTTCAATTATGTGATGTTAAAAACAAACTATTGAGAGTGAGACAAGAAAGTAATTTTACAGTGATTATCATTCTCCAATACCATAATCTGGACTAACATTTTTTAGATTTAGCTCAGCGGGAGGAACACCCTTGCTGTTTCCACAGTGGGGGTCCATTAGCTCAAAGCACCCCGTTGAGAGGGGAGATGTGACTTCCAAGAACTGATATTAGTCAAACACAAGACAGTCATGCAAATGATGATGCCTCATATATATAATTGAGTATGTTACACTGATCTTGGGTTTGTTTGCTGCAATGTTATCCAAATGTGGGCCCTGAGGCCAACTGGCAAGACTAGAATAGTAAGGCTTTTTGTTTTGGAAAAAGATTAAAGAAAAAAACAGTATACAGACAAAATGAGATTAGACACAGGGTGTACTTCAAGAATCAGGTCGAATTTGAGATGCCAAAAGCTTTAACGTCTAATTTAATAATTGCATCCAATGTTTATCATACCACAAAACAGATTATGATAATCTAATCTAAGATGCTAACATAAATTGTCTGGTCTACAGAGGGTCAATAAAATTGTCATGTCTGGAAGATAACGTTATTCCTTTTTAATATAAGATTAAATATGCAGCCTACTGCACTTTGTCGATAAATTAAGCTAAGGTCCAGAGCCTTTAGATCTTGAATTTGTGAAAACAAAATTAAGGTGGGACGATAACGCTTGTTTTTCCCATGCCAGGGAACATGAGGAGATGTTTATAATAGCAACAAGATCTCTCCGCTTGCCCTTATATATGTATGCTTCATCAGCATCTGACAAAAGATATACATGGATATAAACAAGCCTGAATGTAATATCCTCTGTAAAGTGTACTCCTTATACATACAAGCTACGTAATTATCCCAGCCTACTAGGCATTCAGCATAAGAAACCCAACTGCCCATATTACCTCAGTCAGTCCAAGGCTGTTTTCAATGTAACTCTGAAGATCAGACAGACATTTAATGTCATATTAAACGCCATTCCTTCCAACAGTCTCCTTCCTCATGTCTGTAATGTTTCTTTACATGCCACTGCTGATTTTTACTTTAAAAATGTTATTCTACCTCCACCAAACCCCAACCATTGGCACACAAGAACAGGTCTGACAGGCCAAGATTGAAAGCAGAGGACTGAGACAAAGCACCAAGGTTTCCAGTGACCATCAGCAGTATCTCATTAGCATAATGTACTTCAAATAAACAAGCACTCATGAATGTGAAAAATGGTTGCAAACAAGGATGCACAGTTAAAAGGTAGTCAAACAATATATATTTAACCAATGGTAATTCCTTGGATAATTTGAAGCCTATTATGACATTAAAATTAAAAACCGTAATATTATTAATACTTTATCTAACAATTTCTAAAGTAGCCTGTCTTGCTCTTGATATATTTATAATGTTTCACTTATAATCAGGCTCTGGGTAAAGGCATACCTCCAGACAGTGTCCAAGCAATACCACAATGTATTCATGGAGGATGTCAACTTATTCAACATTGTTCAATCATGAGGTGATCGTTTTGGCATAGTTATGGCAGGAAATATCCACTGCATTCAGGCCAAATAAGCTTTGAATGTTTTCAGGCCATATAGAGGTTTCAGATCGAGCTCTTACCTTCTAAGAACAGTAACTGCACCATAAAGTGACGTGTGCAATTTTGATATCTCAAATAAAACTCTGATAATAACTCGTAAAATGTCAAGCCAACACAGCTTGTCAGGCTAACCGTGTTTTATGACAGTGTTTGCTCTTCTGGAGGAACAGGGTCCAACATAAAATCCTGAAGTCTGATGACCTGATTACCTAAAGCAAGCAAAGAATTATGCTTTTAAGGTAAAACTGGAATAGCAAAATAAAAGTAAATCTTTCATAGTGATGCTACTGAAAAAAAAGAATACCAGAATCAATCTACTGGTGAGTTTACAAATACTTCATGACAATTCAGTAATCGCCTACGGCGGCATTATTGTAAGGGAGAATTTACAAAGCACTTGAACGCAACACAGCAACCTGGCTACACCTGCTTCTCAGGAGGCTTCCACCGTCGCACCTAATCTTCCAGTAAAAGCACTCAAACAATACGGTACAGTCACACCTGTCAACTTAAGCAATATCAGATCACTTGTTTTAACTATAAGCGTGGAAAAAAATAAAGACAAAAGTGGAGTTTTGTCGAATAAAGTTCGGAGTTTACGATACACCTGTTTTGTAAGTGCTCGCCTGTGTCGGCCTTACCTTGTGGTTTGAAAGTTGCCCAGTAGATGTGGAGGAGTGAAACTGTGGAAGATGTTATATCAATTTAAAGTTTCAAAGAGGTCAAATGTGAGGAAAAATGGCAGTTACAGTAAGTAAAATGGGTCCCCGGGTATCGAAGACGGGCATAGGGAACATTAAACTCCCAGTCCCTCTCTCAGGGGCGGGGCTAGCGCGGTTTCAAGATGGAGAGGAAGGGAGCGGCGCAGGGGAAAACCTGTGGTTGGTGGAGTGAGGCACAAAGAGGATGGAGTGGGGAGTATCGGCCCACACAGGTGACTGAAACAGGTGACTGTATCTGTGTTGATACTCTCAACACTGGGATGATGTAGCTCATGGGCCATAGGTTAGTGAGTTTTGATAAAGGAGACCATCAGGGCCAGCTTTCTTTCCTCTGACTGACATCATTTTTGTTAGATTAAATATATTATTGATCAGTTGTGATTTGATTACAGAAAGATATTGCCTTTGAAGGCGAGGTAAAGCTTGTACTGTTATGTGAAATGTTGAATTATTAGTGAGTTGTGCTGTAGTTGTATTAGGCAGGCTAGGTATTTTATATAGCAATGAACAATTTTTCTAATAAGGTATTTTTAAATGGTTTGTAAATTGTAGTATTGTATTTTGCATTCATTGATTGTTAAATTGCTTCATTGGTCCAAGGAACACAATCCAAAGATATCATTTTTTCCAGCAGCATAGAGATATTTAAATTTATGTAAAACCGAAGAAAGAAAACGCAGTATGAAGACATTCCGTTAACAATAATATAAAATTGAGAAAACAACATATCTAAAAATATAGGAGACAGGAACCAGAGAATATATGCAATATTTGTTTGATAAATGACTTAAACAATGTATCAAAAAATAAACTAACTTTTAGTTTGAATACTTGTTTCAGCTCTAATCATTTAAAAGTTATTGTTATTTGGTTAATAAATCGTGAACCATTATTTTTATATCAGATAGTAGATAGTATATAATGGCTTTTAATATATTAATTCCGCAGTTGTACATGGTGTCAATAAATAGATTTATGTTCAAGTAAATGGTAAACGCTCTAACCACTCCACCCACACAGGGAATTTTCACAACCTAGCTAAAGAAAAGTGATTGCATTTTAATGCAATGTAAACTATCTATATAGCCTAGCATAAGTACATTTTATTTTATAGACAAATAGATCTATCTCACTGTATACACAGATCTCAGTGTGTGTGTGTGCGATGTATGTGTGAGCGATGTGTGTGTGCGATGTGTGCGGTGTGCTCTTCTAAAAGATTGATGAAGGAGGGCTGGAAGATAAAGTTCCTGATGGTGCTGGAATACAGCACTCTATTCCACTTACACCATATCGGTGAAAACACTTTGTAATATAGCTTTATAATCAGCAAAATAATTAGCTCTCCACAGCAATCTGTTGTGCTGAGCCATGTAATAATAGTGTGTGTGTGTGTGTGTGTGTGTGTGTGTGTGTGTGTGTGTGTGTGTGTGTGTGTGTGTGTGTGTGTGTGTGTGTGTGTGTGTGTGTGTGTGTGTGTGTGTGTGTGTGTGTGTGTGTGTGTGTGTGTCATTTATATAGGTTGTTATAGTATTAAATAGGGTACCAGCTTATGGTTTTGAAGATTGTGTTTTAGATAGCTTAGTCTTGATTGATCCAACAACTCATTCATTTTCATTCGATACAGCACATTACGCATGATACGCCCTCCTGAACTGTAGAAGTAGAGGAAAGCTGTTGTGTCACAGTTTGCCTGGAGGGAAGGTTTGGAAAGGGGCTTGTTCAAACTCCCAACAGGCAATAAGTCAGGAGAGGACAGATGCTTATCAGGCAGAAAAGAGGCAGAGATAAAGGATTTAAGTATTGAGGTCTTTGTAATAATGCTGACAAATGGACTTGACTGTCACACAAAGAGGTAGGTCTGTTTACATGGTAAACACACACAAAACAACTGGAGGGAATGTACATCATTTTGGAGGGTGGGGGTTAGAGAGCATAGCCATGGTGTGTACTTAGAGACAAGTGGATGTTTCTTCTCTAACAGTGATCCATTTGTTTTGCATCAGCTCTCCAAACACACACACACACACACACACACATTGATGCTGTTAATCTCTTGCGATACATTCACTGCCCTCTGCATCTCATTTCCTCAGCTATGCCCTGACTCATCACAATATGCCACTCTGCTGTTGGCTATCGCCCACTTCGCCCTCCCCTCCAAAAAGGGTCTGTATGTAGCAGTTTATTCAACAGTTAACTCGTGTTTTGTCTGTTCACTTTTTTTTTATCTCTCTCACCATGTGTCCCTTTCCCACTTTGCCAACATACCACATTTCTCTCTGTTTCACTCTCTCTTTTCTACCGCATCATTCTCATCCTCTTTCTCACCTCCCCCTCCCCTTCTGTACCCCCCTCCCTCCCTTTCTCCCCCTCCCTCCCTTTCTCCCTGTACCCAGATATCAGGTGCGTTACCTGAGCTCCATATCAATAGTTAATCACCCTGGGACACCCAATCTAGAGAGCATGACAGAACTCTCCCGTGGAGAGTTGTGGTGGTCATGGTGTGTGTCATTGTGTTACTGTGTGTGTGACAAGACAGCGGAGAGAGTGGGGGTGCTAAGACTTGCATATTTCGACAGTATGGACAAAGAGAGAGAGAGAGGAAAGAAAAATGGGCAAAGATGAGGCAGCAAAGGGACTACATTGTGCAGGACTCTGCAATAAAATTGACACACAATGCAAATGTTCTGATGTATGCCTTAGTTCCGGGGAAACTGCTAATTCATCATGAACTTACTAAATAAATAAATAGTCTGTGCCATTATAAAGTTGCTGATTAAAAAACTGAATTAGACTGGGAATGTAAAGCATCGGAATAAACACAAAAAAACAATAACAACAAAATAGGCGGACAGAATATTGGAGAATACAGTGTCAATCATTTTAAGTTATTTTGTATTGTGTGCACTCAATTTGTGAGGGCTCTGGTCCAGACATGTTCTGTTCTGCTCCCTAGTGTACAAACTATGGTATTACATGTGAAGTAACAAAAAGTCAGCTCCTAACCATCAACTTGTATACATTTGATAGATGTCATTTTTAGCATTTAAAAAAAAAACTTTATTTTTCTCTTATTTGCAGCACTGCTGATGAAATGTGATCAACGTATGCGGTCTTCTGAGAAGAGATTCCAAGGTTATTGGATATTGGGCTGAATACATACTTACTAACCCTCTACCAGATAATTAATTTATAAGATAGCTCCAACAGCAGTTACAAAAAATGCATATGCTCTGTTTACATGGAATGGTCAAGTCAAAATATACATCAAACACTTGCATACCTAAAATCAAAATGTTGTTCAAGGGGCTTGAAAATATATATAGCATATGACTCCCTCCATCCTCAAACCATCTGGTAAAGAAAAACTCCCTGGAAGAACACTTATACAGAAAAACAGTAACCTTGGAAAGAGCAATAGAAAAGGATTCCCATTTGTGCAGAACAACCTTACTGTAGATGCCTTATGATTAAAGTTTGCTTAAACAAATAAATGACGAATACATAAATAAATATATATACCATGTTGCTACTTTGAAGCCACTAATATAGTAAGGTGAGCTGTGTGAAATACATACCTGAGTAAAGGAACTGTACAAAACTCGCAGTTGCCAGTTTATTAGATACAGCAAGGTCACACTAATGCAGTCTAATACAACCGTTCTGCCTTAAGGTTTTAATGTTCAGTCTTTATTCCACTGTTTAGTTAGCCGTTAATTAAACTGTATGAACACTTTGGAGGCTGCAGTTGGCTGAATTGTTTTGCGTCATAATCAGATTTGATTGTATCCTGGGTGATATAACTTGATTGGGAATAATATTTGCCCGTTGTATTAGACTGAATTTAACAAACTGTCCACTAAATGTAACGTTTACAAACCGAGTGAGTGTCTGGAAAAAGACTTTTTTTATTAGAGAGTTAGTTATAGTAAAGAAGGAAAATACATTCTGTCAGAAGGCGTACTTGTGATAAGATATAGAACAATTAGTTTTCTCTCACGGAAGGCAAGGAATGAATTATCTGTTCTGCATGGACTTGTTTCTCAGTAAAGTTGCCAGAAGTCTGCAGTAGTCAGATCTGTCTGAAGTGATGACCTGGTCAGCTCAGGGAAAGGACAGCCAAGCATTTGGTGGCAGCAGAATATTAATAAACTGGCTTATGTGTAGATGCTTGAGAACAGTCTGGAGTTCTGTCTGGCCAGACAACATTTTACAAGTGCTCTGGCATGCAGAGCGGACCACTCTTGGAGTAGAAGAGGTTGACATATGGGAGAAACTGGGCGCAGAATTTGCATTTGAAGGAGTAGCTGGTTGACATGTTTGAGGATAAGGGAGGGTGGTAGGGTAATGCAGAGAGAGAACAACTTCCTTTTTCTATTTGAAGGGTTCAACTTGATTCTTAATAAAGGTGTTTCTGATCCATTGGATGTGAAGTGTAAACATGCAGGATCAGGTTTGAGTTGCAGAGATGCTTCTGAGAGTTAATTTAGTATATAGTAAATCAGGAAGAAGGATTTTCTTATCTTACCTCACATTATTCACTTCATTAAAAGGAACTCTCAAAAGAGTCTCACATGTGTCCCGTAGTCCAGCATTTTCATGGGAACATTTTTTATTATTCACAAAAACACAATGAATCCTGGAATTGGAACATATTATTCCTAGGATGTAAAAATATTACTGAAACTGAATACACAGCATGTTTTGTAAAATTGTGTCTAAGACTTGGTGTATAATACCATTCTTACATGGCTAAGAATGCATTCTGCTAACCTTCTTTGGGTTTTAAAGTTATGTTGTTTTATAGATGTAAAAAGGCAATAGTTGTTGCTGTCTTGTACAGATTATTCTTGCAAGTATGCAAAGAGATTTGATTAATTATTGAAGGGGCAGCTGTAATGCAAATATTTTAATCTTTTTCAGATGAGTGTCCAATGTGAATTTTACACTGTCAGTATTGTACCAGCCGTAAGTTATCAATGTGCATATCACATAAGCAGCAGTAATTAGGTGCAGTGGTAATGAAATCCATTACAACAACCAGTGATAACGCTTTGTCAATCCGATGATATTTTTTTCCAATATCAGTGAAATATTTTTGTTTTAACTC